TGAAGTTCAAGAGCTTAGAAACATAGGCCGAAAGTTCAAAATAAATTCAGAAGGAAGTGCAGTTTATGTTCATCCACGGTTGAAGAATTTCTCAAAGAATTCTGGGGTGAGAGACAGAGTTGATGAGGAGAAAGTTGATTCAATTTTGAAGAAACTTGATCTGAGAGAAGGTGTAAAGGCAAAATTCTATCTGAATCTTCTCCAGCTTTGTGAATCTAGTGGTGAGAAGCTTTTGGTCTTCAGTCAGTATCTCCTGCCTCTAAAATTCTTGGAGAGACTCAGTGTAAAAGTGAAGGGTTATAGTCTTGGCAAGGAAATGTTCATGATAACTGGTGATTCAAATTCTGAGACGAGGGAGATTTCTATGGAGAGATTCAACAATTCATCGGGTGCTCGTGTGTTCTTTGGTTCGATCAAAGCCTGCGGTGAAGGGATATCCCTTGTCGGGGCTTCACGTATTATTATATTGGATGTTCATTTGAACCCATCAGTAACCCGCCAAGCAATAGGACGTGCATTTCGACCTGGCCAACTGAAGAAGGTATACGCATACAGATTGGTTGCTTCCAACTCGCCAGAAGAGGATGATCACATAACCTGCTTTAAGAAGGAATCCATTGCGAAGATGTGGTTCGAATGGGATGAATATAATAGTCGCCAAAATTTTGAAATGGAGACTATAAATGTGAAGGATTGTGGGGATTTGTTTTTGGAAAGTGATCAAATGAATGAAGATGTCATTGCTGTCTTCAAAAGGTAAGTAAACTTCGTTTTCTTGAATGCTTTCATTCTTTATTCGCTTTTAAATGTGCTTTTGCACTTTTTCAGGTAAATGATGACAAAATTCTAAGGTTCATCGAGTAATAGTATATCCTGGTCATGGAACTCGTGATGAATTGATCTTGGAAAGGTGGAAGTCATGAAACTGTTGCAAGCTTCCGACTGAGAATGAAAGATCACTTCAGTTTCTACATCTTTGAATTTGCTTGTTTTTGGCTGGACATAATCTAAAGCAGATGCTATGAATACAAACTTCAGATAATATGTTTGCAAGCTACTTCATATGAACTTGCTTATAGAGTTTTCTTATATAATTTAATGGTTGAGGTCACCTTTTTTTTTTTCTGGACAAAGCATGGCATTTCATTAAATTATATTGCCGAAACAATTGCAAAATAAAGTTTAGAATGCAATCAACCAGTGGGAATCTCTATTGCACAGACACCTCATCTAGGGTAGCATGTCGGACACGTGTCGATACTAACACTCTTTGGACACTTTACCATAATCATTTTTCATTTTTGTAAGAAATATTATATATTTTTAATTCAAAATTATTAGTAAATAACAAATAGACATTCATATTCAAAATATTTCAATAAGTAATAATAAGTACAAAACTAAATTTATACTAGAAGAATATTAAAGAATTTAATTAACGTGTCGTTTGAGAACTTTTTTGGAAAATCACGTGTATCGTATGAGACACACTTATCCTTGTCGGTGCATCATAGGTGCGAACTAACTGGGGACAAAACAGCTAGAAGGTGGGCTACATTATTCCCCAGCCACGACAACCTCTTTGTGCACCTCTAACCACTGCCCCCAACCCCCAACAAATTCATCGAGGACTGCAGCATCTGAGTTTAGTTTCAATTCACCATCTGGTAAACCCTTTCCTGCCATAAACCACCAGGTTTCTGTCCCGCCAGAGAACCCACAATAGGCAACAAATCATTTCAAACTATCAATCCTATTGAGAAGTTGGTGTTGACACCAGAGTATCGACACCAATCTTTAAGAGAAGTTAAATAATTAATTTTTAACATTAAGGTGTCAATACCGATACCTCGAGTATCAATATCTTCCCAAATGGGTTCCAAACATATTGGTTATTGGGGGGATTGTCGACATCCATGCGAAATTTTTAGTCATATACATTTTTTAACAGTTTCCCGTTCATCCTCGTTGATAAGTGAGTTAATGACATAATAATACTGGTAAAAATCATGGTGATCTCGAGCATGTTACACAAACACATTAAGATTGAACTTCGTTTTATTCGAGATGGGATCTTGATAAAGGAATTACTCATTTTGCTTTGTTCCCTCGATCAAACTATTTGCATCTCCACAAATCACTTGGTGAACCACGACTCTATAAACTCCAGACCAAACTCAACGTCTTCCAATCCCTGTTTCACTCGAGGAAGATATTGAGATAATTCACAATTGTTAGTTTAGTCATCTAGAAGATTCTATTATTTGTATGATAGCATGTCTGTATCACATGACGCTCTAAGGTATCTATTATTTCAGTTCGACTATACCGTTAGTAATTTTTTTTCAAATTTGACCAAATTCGAGACCGAGCTGGTAGAGCTCGTAACATGAATAGTGGAATTGATCTGCCTAATGAAATGAATAAAATATTCATATAAATATATGAAGACCAAAAGAAGAAGAAAAACACTTTATTACCAATAATATAATTGAATAACACATTTTGTTAGCTAAAGTACGAATTTGGTCAATTTTAATAGAAATTAAACATAAAATAGTAAAAATTCCTATCAATTAAAGTGATGAAATAATTTTGAAAAATAATCTTAACCATTCATTTAAATTAATCTAATGATTTTGATCTTTTAATTTTCACCAAACTGGAGCATACTTACAAACATAAATATGCTTTAGTTGAAATAAACTGTCCTCCACTAATTTCCCGACTCTGCTCAATTCGGTACTTCCAATACGCACCATGCGCATGTTAGCATTCCACGTCAAATTGTGGGCCAAAGATGAAATGGCAAAAAAATGATTAAAAAACAAAACAAGAATGACCGTCCTCCTTAGTATTCTCAGTTTCTGCTCACTGCCTTGAAACTTTAGTTCGACAAGAAACCCTTCAATTTTTCGTCTGCTTCTAGCTATCATTCTTCCCCAGTTTCCATAAAATGTAAGTGATTTATCAGATTTATCTGTTTAGGGGAACCATTTCTGCAAATGTTAGTATTTTATCTTTCTGGGTAATCTTTTCGTTGTTGGATTTAAATTCCCGGGAATTGATGATACTTTAAATTTTGATCTTTATTCTCAAAATCATGTTAATTCGTGTTCTATAGTGTGGAAATCAACATGCACGTCCTTTTCAAGTTGAAATAATTAATGGTTTTTTTTTCTTTTTTTTTTTTTACTGTGAATTTTGTGTTCGGTGATAGCGATGGATGTAGCAGAAGAAAGCAATTCTAACACCCCACCTCCAGAAAGGTCTTCGGCTAGTAGTTACATGGGTAATCTCTCTTCACACGTAAATTTTCACGCATGTTCATGCATATGTATCATTTTTGAAAGAATATATCATTTATGCTTCTCTTTTATTTTGTTGGGTTAGATTTTTAGATATAGAAATACGATATAAGATCTTGGATTATCATGTTAATCACAATCAATATTGCGGAATATAAAATAATAGATGCATACTTGAATCCATCATTTGAATCATTTGTTCTCTTGAGAGTAGGATAACTTTACCTCAACGGCCAATCACGATAGTTAGAGGCACAAAAATAATTGTTGTAGGCATGAACCCTAAAGTCTCTCATTGCTTCTATAAAGGAAACCAAAAAGGAAACCAAAAAGACTTTTAATTTAATACTAACTCATAATATTAATTAGATTAGTAATGATCCATAACCATTTAATTAGGCGTTATAAGGTTTAATAATATTCTTGCATGTTTTGCATGTTGATTTTTTTTGAAATTATGATGTTGGACTATTGATTTAACTATTTTTTGTTGATTTTTGGTAGTTTTAGAAACAAAATTAGTTCTACCAGCATTTTGAAAACCGAACCAGGTACCAACCACAATAAGGGAAAGGGTGAAGAGTTCATGGTATGGTAAAAAGAATTAACTAAATAAAACTTATGGGGTGAACTCCCTGTTTTTGAATGAACTAGCCTGTTGAGTGATATTATATCAATTTATTTTCAGTTTTACCCCTTAATCAGGCTCAATTAAAGTCTCAATTTCCGGTTTGAGCCAATCCGGTCCGGTTTTGACAACATTAATATATACTCGTAGATTATGATTTCGTTTTGACAATTTGTTATTTGCTACTTATCTTTTCAATGGTTGTTTGCAAGTTAGAGATTTAATTTTGTAAATTTGTTATATTGTATATTTGCAGATGTTTGTTTTTGTTAAGTTTTGCTTATGTCTCATCCCTGACTTTTTTTTTTTTTTTAATTCTTTCATTTCTTTGAGTTATATTATTCATTTGTCTTGAGGTTTATGCCTCAAAGTGTTTTGAGGCTTATGCCTTGCCTAACGAGGTGAAATGACTTGGTACCAGATCAAGTCTTTAAATTTATACTTGTTTGTGTTTTTTCACTTGCAAGAGAATTGGTTCTATTTAACTCAGAGATTTTGTAATTATATTCTCTTATTATTGTGATATCACTCGCAAAGCATCTCCCTTAACTTTTGAGTTGGTGTAGTACGTCTGTTGGATGATCTAAGGCATTGCTCATTATAAAAATGCTAAATAGGGAAGCCTGCAGTGTTGAAAACCATTTTTTTTAACTGAAAGAAAAAGATTTTTCTTTCTCTTAAATTAGGAATATACACACGAGTTTATCGTATCATACACAACTTTAGCTCTCATACAGATGAAACTTGTTCTGCTACTTTCTGCATTTTATTTTATGATTTCAAAAATTTGTGGTACATTTTACATTCTAACTTTGTATTTCTGGTTTTCTTTCTTTAGTGTTTCTATTCTCAACGTTTTACTCATTAGTTTAAACCTATTAAATTATATCCTAGATTTCGTGATCAATATTCCACTTTGGCTTCTAATTCATTCCTTAGCCCATGAATGGTTTTTTGATATAAAGCAGAGATCATGCTCTCAAGAGTTGTTCCATTTTCCTCATCGAAGAACAAAAGCCATATAATTAAATCCATCCTTATATTCATTGGATTTGAATTTGGAAATGATAGGATTGCATTGCAAGAGGAGGAAACTGATTAATACAGACGAAGGAAGTTCAATGGATGTAGAACCGTTCGATCCATTTTCAATAAACTATTTGGCAGAAGAGTTAGATTCTGGCAAATATGGAAACCTTACTGAAGATATTCGGAACCTTCTCTTGAGGAGGAGACTGTCATTAGATGCTCGGTATGCAAAAGATAATGCACTTCCTTGTAAACATTCAGTTGTGAAGAATAAACAGGCATCAAAGGCAGCTGGACTAGCTCCTACCAATGTCATTGACGTGGAGGATAACGATGACGATGATGGAAGTAGAGCTGCTGTTGTCAAACAATTTGTTTCGGCTGGGCGGCTAGCCTCGTCAACTAGGCATGGTATTCTTCATTTGGAAGATGAAGATGAAATTAGCGAGAAGCTTTTATGTCCCCACCAAGAAGTTGACTTGAAGAAGCCCAATTGCAACCTTCTTATGGAGGACTTTGTGGTAAGGAAATTCTAGATTTGGTGGTTAATAGAGGTCAGGTAAAATTTTAAAATAATTAACTGTATTCATGTAACCTTATTACCTATAGTCATTTAAAAAGTTATCTGTAAAGATCAATGAGTTTTGTGTCTAGACACAAGACACAGAAAAATTAGGGGAAAGTCCACTCATTTATATTTGACTTGATGATTACAGAATAAGTTAAGACTTTCTATATCCAGAGTTTTATGAATAATGATCATTGTCTTTTGAAATGTAGCTTATGATCCATTTTATATTTAAAAAAAAAAGAGAGAAAAAAGAAAAAAACAATTACTGTGAGACTTGCTTAACACTTTCTTTTAAGTCAGTAAAGTTTAGACAAGATAAAAATATGTACAATTACTCTTTCGACCATCTGTTTGTGAGTGTCACCTGTCTATTAGCGACATCTCGAAAATTTCCGAGTCGAAATTCTCTTAAATAAATTTGAATATTTACTAAAACATTACCCGTATGTTTTAGGATAGAAGTTAAAGTTTAGTGACAAATTTAGATTTATCTAAATGTTAGTTCAGTGCCACTAAGTATAGAAACAAATATCTAAACCCCGGAGTAGTTTCTATTTTAGAAGATTTAAGGAGAAAAAATAGATTAAATCAGTTAAGATGTATTTCCAACTAAAAGTTAATACATTGTAATTCCTTTTGTATGCTTTTTTAGCTGTTGTGAGAAGTTATACTCCATTCGTCCCATAAAGATGAAATAATAAATTTTACTATAATTTTTCCTAATATACCCCTACATTAATGCAATTAATATTCAAGATAATTAAACTATATTTGTGATAACAAATCATATTAAATAGAGGTATATTAGGAAACTAATATATTAACTACACTCTTAAATAAGAAACGGAACTATAATTTAGGACAGATGAAAAAGGAAAATATAACTATCTTTATGGGACAGAGGGAGTATTATGTTTTTGGGTCGTTCACTTGTTGTTAAAGAGAAAATTCAATGGGGGTCAGTAGGCATGTGCTCTTTTTCTTTGTTATGTAACAATCTATTAATTTTAATGCATAGTGATATTCACGGATTTTTGCCATTTCTTCCTTTTTTAAATTTAAAGATCTTGTCCTCCAAATACCTAGGATGCTAAGAAGCCCAGTGGGATCAGTTGATCAACATGGACTATATGTAGCTGTGCTCAAAATTTTTCTCTTACGATTTTTTAAAATCCTATTCTTCCATTTTCGTGCTTGGGAGCGTGGGTGTGGAAGTTATGTCTATTACATGTTCTTTTTGTAGGCAAGATAATAAATAAATCCTGCTTTGTATAATACTCCATTTTGTTAAATAATGGCATTGTCCTTTAGATGGTAATGTAACACTCACTTGCAGGAACAGGATGATGATAAAGGTCAAACTTCAAGAGGAGATGCACATCTTACCAATGAAAATGAAATGGTTAATGACATTGTTCCACATGTTGGCATAGAGGATGACTTGCAAATGGTGGAAGGGGATAGACATTCAGCCGCCTATTCTGATGATCTGAATGGCATTTGGAATGAGATGGCTGTGGCATTAGAGTGTTCAGAGGTACACTAAGTCTACTTTCATTATATTCGACCAAATAATAATATTAGCATTATAAATTGATCTATACTTCTTCAAACGGTGCTTGACTTGTATCTCTGTTAGTTCTAGATCCATGTATGACTTTTGGTGTCTGTTACCTGTGCGGAACTTTCTAGCTATCTAATAAGAATTTTCATTTCTTTAATTTGCTATTTCATCAAATCTGAACACCAATATATTATGCTTCCTATATTGAGCCAATCATTCAATAACCTCTTAAGGCATGTTTGGTAGTAAAGAAGCTAAAAATTTGTCAATTGTAGGGTCCAACTGTCTGTTATTGCATACCGAACGTATTCTTAAAATATTATTTTGTATTCTGGAAGCCTGGTGTAAGTAATCCATTTGTATTTGTTAAATGCTTGATCGTTGTGAATCTCCTTCATCATTATTAACTTGCTCCTTTCATGTGATAGAATCGTGCTGCAGAGTCTCTACCAGATGAAAATGAAGCTGAGACCAGAGAAGACTGTGAACATTCCTTTATACTGAAAGATGATATTGGTGAGGTTTGTTGCATTTGTGGAATCATTCGGAGAAGCATCGAAACCATAATTGAGTATAATTTCTCAAAGGTGTGGCTTTTCTCTTTTCTGCATATATTAGCTTTCTAGTTATCATATGAAGTTTGGGAGTAGATGTACCTCTTCCATAATTACTGTATTCGTTGAAATATTTGTTTTTATTACAATGATCAATGATGCACCTATAGCCTATGGGTTGTGGGTTACATTTTTCTTTAGACGGCTTTATAGACCTTTAAATTTTTGTATTTTTACATTTTCCACATTAAGTTCGTTATAAATTCAAATTGGCTATGTCCATTAGTTTGCTTATCAGCTTTTACTTTGGAATATAGTGGCATTGTGGCATAGCTTACTTTGCTTCCCTCACTCAAGACGCCAAGAAGCACCAATCTGGATGCCATTTATTCTTTTGGAACTTTTTTTATCAAATTAGCTCGGCTGCAAAGATATCTTTCATGTAGATTCTTTGGTCAAATACTAAAGGAAAAAGAATATACCACTTCTTTTTTTTTTTTTTTTTCCATTTAACCAATTCCTCTGTCATGTAGATTTGATTCTACAGATTTTCTCTTCTTTGATTTATATTCAGGGTGCAAAGAGTACAAGAACTAATAGATACGAAGGACGAACTACTGAAGACTGGGATCAAAGGGGAATCCTTTCTGATGAGTTAGAACCATCCGCTACAGATTTCTCGGTTGCTGAAATTTACCCACATCCACGGCACAAGAGGGAGATGAAGCCCCATCAAGTTGAGGGCTTCAATTTTCTTGTAAGCAATCTGGTGACGGATAATCCAGGAGGTTGTATCATGGCTCATGCACCTGGCTCTGGAAAAACCTTCATGATAATTAGTTTCCTTCAGAGTTTCATGGCCAAATATCCATTTGCAAGACCACTTGTTGTACTGCCAAGGGGCATCTTGGCAACCTGGAAGAAAGAGTTCCTTAGATGGCAAGTGGAATGTTGGCCTCTATATGACTTCTACTCCGTTAAAGCAGACAGTAGATCTCAGCAACTACAAGTTTTAAGTGACTGGGCAAAAGAGAGGAGCATTTTGTTCTTGGGGTATAAGCAGTTCTCTTCCATAGTATGTGATAGTGGTACTGGAAAAGCTGCTATATCTTGTCAAGAGATATTGCTGACAGTTCCGACTATTCTAATTCTAGATGAAGGTCACACTCCAAGAAACCAAGACACAGATATTTTGACCTCCCTCGAGAGGGTCCAGACACCAAGAAAGGTGGTGCTCTCTGGAACACTGTACCAGAACCACGTCAAAGAAGTTTTCAATATTCTGAATCTTGTTCGTACTAGGTTTCTGAAATTGGAGACTTCTAAAGAAATAAAGAGACGTATCTTGAGCAGGGCAGAAATTTCAGGTACAAGAAACTTACTGAAAAGGGGCACGGAAAATGATTTCTATGATTTAATAGAGCACACATTGTTAAAAGATGATAACTATACGAGGAAGGTTACTGTAATACAAGATCTACGGGAAATGACAAGAAAAGTATTACACTATTACAAGGGAGACAACTTGGATGAACTTCCAGGTCTTGTTGATTTCTCTGTCTTTCTTCAGCTCAGCCCCAAGCAACAAACTGAAGTTGAAGAGCTTAGGAACTTTGGCCAAAAGTTCAAAATAAATGCAGAAGGGAGTGCGGTATATGTTCACCCACGGTTGAAGAATTTCTTGAAGAATTTTGGGGTTAGAGACAGAGTTGATGAGGGGAAAATTGATTTAATTTTGAAGAAACTTGATTTGAGAGAAGGTGTAAAGGCTAAATTCTATATGAATCTACTCCAGCTTTGTGAATCTAGTGGTGAGAAGCTGTTGGTATTCAGTCAGTATCTCCTGCCTCTAAAATTCTTGGAGAGACTGAGTGAAAAAGTGAAGGGTTATAGGCTTGGCAAGGAAATGTTCATGATAACTGGTGATTCAAATTATGAGACGCGGGAGATTTACATGGAGAGATTCAACAATTCATCAGATGCTCGCGTGTTCTTTGGTTCGATCAAAGCCTGTGGAGAAGGGATATCTCTTGTAGGGGCTTCACGTATTATTATATTGGATGTTCATTTGAACCCATCAGTAACCCGCCAAGCAATAGGACGTGCATTTCGACCTGGCCAGGTGAAAAAGGTATATGCATACAGATTGGTTGCTTCCAGCTCACCAGAAGAGGACGACCACATTACATGCTTTAAGAAGGAATCCATTGCAAAGATGTGGTTTGAATGGGATGAATACAATGGCTGCCGAAGTTTTGAAATGGAGACAGTAAATGTGAAGGATTGTGGCGATTTGTTTTTGGAAACTGATCAAATGAATGAAGATGTAATTGCTGTCTTTAAAAGGTAAGTAAACTTCGTTTTCTTGAATGCGTGCATTTTGTATCCACTTCTGAATCTGCTTTCACACCTTTTCAGGTGAATGGTGACAATTCTAAGGCTCATCAGGTAATGGTCTAGTTGGTCATGTTTTCTTAGCTACAAAACTTGTGGAATTGATCTGGGGAATGTAGATGTCATGAACCGTTAGAGGTTGCAGTTTACCTGTAAACATGATCTGGCTATTTTTACGTAATATTTCTGTGAAGGTGTTATATTAGAACCAGTTCTACTCAGTCAGTTGAAAATAGATTCATGATTTAAAATTATTAATAAGAAAAAGATGCGAGTTCAAGATGCCCAAGAAATGCAGTCACAATGTAGTTAATCTACCATGGTAGGCTGGTTAGTAGGTCTTCTTGAGATCATGTCTCATTTGATTTCTACATAATTGTTAGGATGATTATCTATCTAATGAGTCATATTTTTGTCATCCTTAAAATATTAATTCTAAATAGTTGATTAGTAGTAAGAGCGATATTCTTTCTGTGATTTTAGTTTTTTTTTAAAAATATTTTTGTTGATTTTAGATAATCTTAGCTGTAACATGTATTAGGTTTTTTTTTTTTTGGAGTGGATTAACCTGGTAACATTTGCTACATGAATAAATAACACAAGCAATTGTTATTCTGCAGTGAGAGAAGGAAAGTCTGATGGTGAAACATACACATTGTAGTCTATAATAGATAGCAGAAACGCATTTTTCTCCATCTCTTGCTTCATTGAATATTTTTATCACAGATAAAGGCTTACATGGCTAATAGTCAATAACAATTCTCTTACTTCAGTTTCTACATCTTTGAATTTGCTTCTTTTGTTCTGTGAAGCAGGCGGGACATAATCTAAAGCAGATGCTATAGCTACAAACTTCAGATGATATATTTTCAGAATAGATAATATGAAGTTGCGTGCTGTTTTCTGGTGCCATTTGTCGGTTGAGATTACTTGTGAGTTATATGTACAATCTTGAAGTTGAAATGAGACGGGATATCTATTGTTGACTGGGAAAGGAATTTCGTTTATTTGTGCTGTTTATTGTATGTAAAAGATCTTTCGGCTAATAAATAAGCTAGTAGTCATTGATGAATTACAGTGATTTAGGATTGTGTGATTTGAATGTTGTAGATAAATCATGTTTTATTTGTGTGCAACTGTGGAAGTTGAATCAGTCTTTATGAGTTAGTAGTGGAAGGATATTGTGTAATTTGATAGCCATATAGACAATTTGCCTGATGAATATTAATGTGAGTGATAACTCATTCCCAATTCCAAAATCTTTCCATTTCTGACAAATGGTATGCAGCAGCTTCTGCTTCTGTAAATCTATCAGTTACCACAATTTGAACGGAATATTGTATCTTGGATAAAGACTTGGATCATCCATGGAAGTCCTTCGATATCGAGTCATTTCCTCTATTTTGTATACGTTCTCAGGTTCTTTACGAGTTATGTTTTGGAAAACGCGTTTGGTTTCCGACACTACCATCTCAAACTTGGGGTCTCGATGCTACAACATTGAATTACAGATCCAGGATGGAACTACAAGTCATACTAATATGTAAAAGAAAAAGTGTTTTTACAAGGAAAAAAAAATTGACGGCCGAGAATTAAATCCATCCACAGGGAAGTTGCATCACGATTCACCAATCTCTTCTTTATACATCTCCGCAAGGCCTGCCAGTGGAAATATTGCAATATTCGTCCCAACCTATTCTCACAATAAGAAGTTGATCTTCATCATTCCAAAAGGATTAAATTAGTCCCAAACTTCAAATATTGTTGCACGATTAGACCTCAATGATAGAAGCTTACTAAACTTTGTTAAATCACATGTAAACTACCACGCATTTCTTTTAAGAATTTAGTGTTCATAATTGTAAACTGACATGTATGTTAATGAGGACAAGATAATTTAATGAAAATTGAACAATTTTCATCGTGAAGATTAAGTCCATGTTTGGGTTGGATAAAAATTAGATTTTTAGTAGATTTTTGATAAATGTTGTGGATCCTATAAAATGTGTAGTTAAAAATAAGTTTAAGGAAAAAATAAGTCTTAAGATATAAGGATCAAATAATAGGGGTGGGCAAAAAAATCGAAAAATCAATCAAATCTATTCGGGTCGGTTTGGGTTTGTTTGAACCAAGAAATTGGTTTGGTTTGGTTAATTTTAATCATGAAAAAAGTCAAGTCGCGTTAATTACGGTTTAAGCAATCAACCCATCAGTTAATCGATCCAATCTGCTAATACATTTTTAATTTTAAAATTCATATTTTTTAACATAAACATAAATATAAACCTTTCTCAAATAGTTTATTTAACATCTATGTTTAATCTATCAAAACTCCAAATTTCAAAAGAAAAGAAAAGCAGGAAGAAAAATTAATTGTTGTAAACTTCAAATTCAGGTTATAGCTTACTTTTTATTTTGATAACTGTCAAATATATAGGATGGTTTTAGGAAAATTGACCATTACCATTTAGGAATTTTTTTTTTTTTTTTTTTNTTTTTTTTTTTTTTTTTTTTTTTTTTTTTTTCTGGGATCAATGTCCAAACCGACTTGGTTGATTTCAACAGCTGGATTGGATTGGAATTTACCCAAACCAACCAAGTTGTATTCGGTTTCGGATTGAACTGAAAACCAACTCAATTCGAATTATGCCCGGACCTATCAAACAAGGGTTAATTGGGGATAAAAAATTAAAGGTAAATGACAAATTTGTTACTAGACTATATATGGGGACCAGAGTACAACTTTACTCATATAATTAACAACGTATTGGTGGTTGATTAATTTAGAAAATAAACAATTTTACTTGTCAAAAATTGCTCGAAATATCAACAAAAAATTCCGTTGCCGGGACTTGAACCCGGGTCTCTCGGGTGAGAGCCGAGTATCCTAACCAACTAGACTACAACGGATTTGCGGTGTCTTCTAAAATGTGTGTATATAAAAAACTGTGATCACTGAAACTTTTCCTTTATAGGCAATTTCCCCAATCGAATGCATGATAAAATATATTTAGGGGACACCTTCTGCGATGCAGCCTTCTTGTAACATCTATTGAAATAATTTTTCAATTTAGATTAAAAGAGAAGTTTGCAAGTTTAAATTACAAACAAATCAGAACATGTCAATGAGTTTTTAAATCAAAACTCTTCAATGAACATTTATGAATTTGTAACGATTACTTGTGAGTCTCACATTGCTCGTAGAAAGATTGCTTGTAAGTTTATATACATAGGGCGCCCTCTTCTTACAAACTGAATAACGAGTAACGGGGACAAAATAAGTTTACAAAGGATCGTGTTGTGTATTTGCTGTCTTCAGTTTCACACAGACAAGTTTTGTTTCATACAGAAGCATAAACAAACATTAGTGTTAAAATTTAAACGCGGAAGCCACCAAATCTATTCGCAAATGTCTTTCAAAATCTTTATTCTCTTCACATTATAATTTTTGTCGCAGAAAAAGAAAGTACAAAAATCGAAATTCAACTCATCATGATTCAGCAGTTGTAGAATCATCTACTGGATGCCAGACTCTGTTGAAAAACCACATGGTATCAGCTTCTGTAGCATATCCATCCTGATTACGATGCCAACTATAGTAAGAATGGGTTCGATTCTTGATATCGAAAATGGCATGACCAAAGCTGGCCTCACGATAAGCCGAGTATTTAGGCTGTGGTTCTGTCATGCTGAAAAAAGTAGAGAATGCATTAGTTTATAGTCTTGCCTCTGAAGAAATTATGCGAGAGATCATGTCTGGCTTAGCTTACAAAGTTTACTTGTACAAGTAATATTGTAAATAAGTAATTTTTAAGTTATCAGTAACTTTACAATTTTTTCAGTCTTAGCCAAACATGATGTTGTATAAAAGCAAACTTCGGGACACTGGTCTTACTTGTTGGCCAAGCCTTCAAGATTCCCTCCATCTCCAATGGTTATGTAAACCGGGGCCGACTGATCAGGTATTGGAGTGCACAATCCATTCACAACATTGTATGCAATGTTCGATACACGTTCCTATGACAATAGAAGATGTTTGTCAAGTAGTGCAAGAAGAAGCTGAAATTTCAATAAAAAAAATGATATACCAATGGCTCATACGACATGTTTTCAATTAGGTAAGGAGGAATGAAACACCTACAGATCGCTCATATGCGTGAACGTGACCAGCAAATACAACATCAACTTTGTACTGGACGAACCATGGCTCGTACATAACTCTCATGGTTTCCCCTTCTAAAAAGTGGTAGTTATAGCTGTTGTACCACGGAGAGTGCATCAGAACAATCAGCCATGGCGTCTCACTCCGGTTGACTTTTGGTAGCTCCTCTTCAAGCCATATATACTGAGGAGTATATTTTCCTTAAAAATTTATACAGTGAAAAAAAAACAGATAGTAAGCATCAAAGAACGAGATTTTAACGCAATTCCAAATCCCAAAATAAGGAATTGAGTACTCATATATGGAAAAGGAAACCATTATCATGAAGCAATATAATGAAATTCGTAAAAAGAGAATAATGTTTATGAATTTGATAGAGAAACACAGGAATTTGGGCTAAGATTAAATACAAGTAAAAAGTCTTTTTTAACTTTTTGTCTCCAAACATATTTTAAAATGTCCCTTCTTTCTTACTTAAAAGTTACTTATGTTGTAAGCTTTTCTTGGGTCATTGTTAAAATAAGTAACTTATTTTCAACTTCAACCAATAAAAAACAAATTTATTTTAGAACTTACTTGAAAGTAAGCTTAATCTAAATATGCTCTAGGCATCATATGTAAGAGTGGACAGGGTTTTCCAATATGTAGAAATACGAAACATAAGAAATGAATCAATCCCGCAGTTAGTCTTTTCAAAAAGCAAGGAATCCACTCATTAGTGTTTCATTCACCTCTCTATTACAATTAACTGATCAAGCCCGTATGATTTGCGTTTAATGACATTTGCAACCAAGAGGTGAATACTAAATATAAAATAAGGAGACTTATTCTAAGGCATATAGGTGCTTACCATAAGCTGAATATGAGGACAAAACAATGATGTATGCTGAAGCTCTCTTGATTGAGTACCAAAAGGGAGAGGTGCTATCTGATACTTTATAAGGGGTGTGATAACGGTGACTATATGGCTTAAAGGGTTTTGTTTCACCCTGCAAGAAAATAATCGATACTTATTTACAAACTCATTTCCATGAAAAACTGGGTTCATATTAAGATTGACAAAGAAGTGAATTTAGCACCTGATATGCAAGGAACGAAAGAGAAGGATAAGATTTTGTGTTCAAAAGTGTTTCTAGTTACGCAAGATAAAGAATTCGTAGGCAGTATCCACTTTTTTGCATAGCCATTTCATATCTGTGATTCTTCTTTTGTCTTTATGCTCAACTTGGAGATGGTAAGAACTATTGTTTTCATGCATTAGATTTTTGTTTTTGTATTATCAACTACCATCACTAACCTTGAAAACCTACTTGCAGAGAGGTCTTTGGACAGGCTTTTCTTGAGGTGAAAAATGATGGATTTGTTAAAATAAAATGACTCCATTAAAGATCAAGACACAGATACTAGAAAAGAAATTCACATCAATATAATTCAATTTTCAGTTATATGCTTTGTCGATTAAAAGAAGAAAAGAACCATAAATTCCCTCCATTTATTAGGAATATCAAAAACATTTATCCACAACGGAAACTTGAGCAAATGGGAGAATTGTTGCATGAAAAATTGGGATTTCTGAATGAGATGAGTCGTAGTAATATTAGAACCGGTAAGGTCAAAGGACTTGAATTCACGTTTCATAATCAACCACAAATGAAAATTTTACACATGTCAAGCCTTTAATGAAAAAATGACCATAGGCTGCACGTCACATGACAAGTTGGAAACAATTTAAAATTGAGCTTTTTCGACAACCGCTATGAAAGGTTAAACTATTTGAAACGGGACAAATATTTAATCACCGAAAATTCTAAAAATTATCAATAATAGAGGAGTTTCCACTTTAAATCCACACATGTGGTGATTGAGAACACTATGTTTCAGAAATAAAAGATGATTTTGCACAACACTTACAATTTCTGGAGCAAAATCAATTTCATGATTTCCTGCAGTCCAAATCCAAGGTTGGTAAGCAACGCTTCTTTCAACGAACCTTCCCCATGTATCCCATCTTACATTGTCATGGTTAGGATAGTTGTCCGCATAGGAGAGATCACCAACGAACAACAAAGTTTGTCCCTTGGCTGGATTTTTCTCGTAATGCGTAAGTGTCCTATTGGAGTCAAAACTTTGACCAAGATCCCCTGTACCAAAAATTGAAAAACACTCACATGGTTGTATTAAGAGCGTGTTTGGCAAAGCTTAAACTTTAAGCTAAGCACGTCAAACATACTTTTTATCCACACATTTCATAGGATCTATAACTTACTACCTATTTATTATACACACACTCTGTAGGACCCAAGTCTTATAAGCACTTAAAAGCAATACCAAACAAGCACTAAGATTTAAGCACCTTGTTCAATCAGAATAGCATTCAACTTAAAGCCAAACAAATGCCACTCTTATCTAACCACAAGCTATAACAAACTAAGCCCTCTTCCCAATAAGTTCGGAGACGGCTACATGAATTGGTTTATGTGTTCATGTCACTCAGTTGGTTTCACTGCTTCAGGGTAAGATTATGTTGTACTCACTACACATTACACGATCACCATAACCACCTTCTTCCTGATCACATAAAATCATTTTCAACACTTTTGAAAGTTGATTGTATAATAAACCTAAAGTATATGTTCGGCATGCAGTACACACAATGGTACAATAGACAATATTTTAACTTCTTTTTCTTGTTTAATACTGTCACGTGCTTTCCAATCCACGTTACCAAACATGCCAAATTTGTTTAACACAAAGATCAATCTATTGCCGTACCACTTATGGAAGTACGGTAATGTATTATTAAGTCTTGAGCAAACTGCCATGAAATATTTATGTAAGAAAGGATACCTATAAGACCAAAAGTATAAGGAGCATCAGGGCCAACTTCAGGGGGGGTTCTGAACCAGAACGTTCGTGTTGTGTGACCAATTCCAACCTCGTAGTAGTATTTGGTGTTGTACTGCCACAAAGAAGTTAAAAATTTCATTCCAAATTGGCCATAAAAGAATCTCCGATATCATATCCTGTCCAAAGCTAAATGTACACAATGAAGCATACAAAAGAAGGAATACCATTAAAGAAATAAGAAAAATTCACCTCTAACTTTTTAATGGTGCAATGATGAATGTAACCAGAGGTATAATTGTAAAATTGATACTTGGTAAGCTTTCCTTCTGCTTCCTTCTTGTCCTTGCTATTCTCACTCCAATATAGGACTGTATTTGAGCCTGGTTCGTCCACGGTAATCCATGATACAATCACGGCCTTTCCCAAATGATCTCCTTGAGTAATATGTACCTTAAGAACAAACAATTATTCAACAACATAATTGAATCAATTTCAGTCAACGAGAAGGATCTATATCTGAATAGCCAAGTTCATAAGATACAACAACCAACTAAGCCTTTTTTCCAATCATATTGGGGTCGACTATGTAGATCCTTTACTCCACTTTGGGTATCTAAACAACTTAAAAAAACAAAAACGTAATATATTAAAAGGATACTTTTTAGGAAAAAGGGAACATCCATGGTACGAATAAAGAGAAAAAGGAAAATAAAACAATAATCATAATTGAAAAGCTTGTATTCGTTTTTATTTTGTCGTTGAGTATATAATGATCAAGAAGAAAAAGAAGATACTGAGAGACCTGTTGAGGCGCATTATAACCAGGAGGCACACGGAAGACATCACTGTCAAGAGGCATATCAATAGTTTTCTCAACCTTTCTAACAAAACTACTTGTGATTCCTCCATTGCATAAAATTGCTGCATTCAAAACAAAACCCACAAATCCCAGTACAGAAAACCCTGAAAATCTAGTTCCTGGAGCACCCATCTCGTTATCCTGCGAACCCAGAACAATCTATGCACCCTCTCTTTCAACAAAAGACTATTCCTCACACAGACATTTGTGCTAACAGTTTGGTTAATCTTGAATTGCGGGGAATATTCATGACTTTATTCGGATATACAATGTTTAGGAGTCAACGAAATTTTTCCCCTTGGGATTGGTTATTGTCTTGGGTTTCGGACAAGTCTATATTAAAGAATCACTTGACAATTGATATGTGAATATGCGGAAAAATTAAGGTTAACATAGTCATATGGAGTTCAGCGGGAAGTTTGACAGTGAGGTTTGGGTAAGAAACAAGATAGATAACTGCTGTAATGAAGAAGAGTTAACGGTCTCGATTATTTTAATGGTCGTGTGTAATTAATATTATTATTGTAACTTATTGTTTTGTTTTTAAAACAAAATAGTATCTTCTTTTGACTTATTTCATTCTCAGATCAAGTAAACATTGTACAAAACATTCTATTAAAATATTGTAAAATGACGAATTTATCTTCTTCTTTAAATAAACAAAAAGAAAATAAAGAAATAATTACGGTCAAAGTCCTCAATTTTTCAAAAATTGCAAATAAGTTCTCAAAAAACTTAAGATAATTTATTTCTTCTCCAACCAACCTCATATACCCTTGCCCAACTCTCTTGCTGCACCACCACCACCACCACCACCCCTCGATGTTGAAAAAGAATTCCCTTTCTTTCTTCTATGGCGGTGGAGGAAGTTTTCTGCGGAAGAAGATGAAAGAATATTTCATTTCTTTAATTGTTTTAGGTGAAAAATATAGAATTACAATTTTACCATTTCAAAATGGTGAAATGCTTGACTTTTGTTCAACTAAAGAAATTTTGGACAAAACTATCAAGAGATACTTCTATTTCACATGATTAAAAGATTGGAATATATCTACTACGATTATGCTTGACTTTTGGTCAACTAACGAAATTTTGGACAAAACTATCCAGAGATCCTTCTATTGCACATGTTTAAAAGATTGGAATATATCTACTACGATCTAAAGGCATTAGATATATTTTGCACTTTTATAAAAATTTGGACTCAGGTTACAAATTTCCTATAATTCATTTTTTCGTGAAGCTTTGTCTTTCTTATGATATTGACATGTTTAGTTAGTTTCTTTAGTCAATGAAACTGTTCATCGGGATTAATAATCTATAGAATCGATCTGTCCCTAATTGTTCATTAGTAGCGAGAAGTTTTTATTCTGCTTAATATAGGTCAGGAGATCAAATCTGTAATAACCTATGATATATTTTTTAATTTTTCCTAATGACAAAACAAAAAATATAAATTAAAGATGTTATTTAATTGTATACTTTAGAATCACTATACTTTTATCGATATAACATTACCAAATGATGTCGATATAAAATGCTTCAACTAACTCGAGCTCAAGGAAGTTCGAGAGCATGAGGACAAGGCTCGTGCTACGACAAAATTTGAACTTCTGTGTTTTGTTTTAATTACACATTTTATTATATCCATAATTTTGTACTATTTTTTAACTATATATTCTCCAAAAAATTATTTTACAATTGAAAACGTTTCGCTCGAACAAGGTTTAAATAATTATCAATCATATTGATAAGAGGTGTGTCACAAATCTCAATAAATGCACACCCATGTGCGGTTTAAAAATATGGATTAAACCATTTGTACATTGATTTTGTCCATAATGGTTGACATGCCTTTACAAATTCAAAAGTGAATGGGTATGCTTGACTTTTGGTCAACTAACGCAATTTTGGACAAAACTGTCCAGAGATCCTTCTATTGCACATGTTTAAAAGATTGGAATATATCTACTACGATCTAAAGGCATTAGATATATTTTGCACTTTTATAAAAATTAGGACTCCGTTACAAATTTCTCATTATCCTTTTTTCTTGAAGCTTTGTCCGTCTTATGATATGGACATGTTTAGTTAGTTTCTTTAGTCAATGAAACTGTTCATCGGGATTGATAATCTATAGAATCGATCTGTCCCTAATTGTTCATTAGCAGTGAGAAATTTTTATTCTGCTTAATATAGGCCACAAGATCAAATCTGTAATAATCTATGATATATTTTCTATTTTTTCCTAATGACACAAAACAAAAAATATAAATTAAAGATGTTATTTAATTGTATACTTTAGAATCACTATATTTTTATCGATATAACATTACCGAATGATGTCGATATAAAATGCTTCAACTAACTCGAGCTCAAGGAAGTTCGAGAGCACGAGGACAAGGCTCGTGCTACGACAAAATTTGAACTTCTGTGTTTTGTTTTAATTACACATTTTATTATATCCATAATTTTGTACTACTTTTTAACTATATATTCTTCAAAAAATTATTTTACAATTGAAAAAGTTTCGCTCGAACAAGGTTTAAATAATTATCAATCATATTGATAGGAGGTGTGTCACAAATCTCAATAAATGCACACCCATGTGTGGTGTAAAAATATGGATTAAACCATTTGTACATTGATTTTGTCCATAATGATTGACATGCCTTTGCAAATTCAAAATAAAAGTGAATGGGCGGGAAACTGTTTTTTATTTTCAAACTGGCCAATCATGCCTCGACACGTGGAACAATGTAAAACTTCATGTCAACCACCATGTACATGTAGCATGGTTGTAAAAATATATTGATCGAAGGTGCCAATATTTTTCTTTACAATTGCGAGGTTTTTTCTATCAATAAAAAGTGTCCACTAACACGTGATTCGTCAAAGTAAACGAGTGATAATTGTGGGTAGTCTGAAAGCAAACTAGCAGTCAAAGTTGTGTGTTTGTGGGGTATGGAGTATGGACATGAATGATAGCATTTTCTAGGCGGGTGGTGATATATTAAATTAAAATATTAATTTTATTTTTGTTAAATTGATTTTGCCCATGTTTAGTAGTGATTAAAATCAATTTTTCAATGAATTTTGATGAAAATTAATAAAATATGTGATTAAGAAGTTCTGGGTCACATAAAATATTACGAGCCCCTGTTTTGACAACAATTATTTTAAAATTATTTAATTCATTTGTTGAGTCAACAAAGGACGGCTGCATATGGCCCACTTACGGTTCCAAAGTAAGAAATCTTCTAAAAAGGGTCAAAAAAAAAAAGAGTACCAAAGTAACCAAACAAGTATTAAATTGCATACTCATTTTTAGTCATACATTTATATAATAAAATATTTTTATATGTAAATTCAAATTTTTTTCCCTACATTTTAATAACAAGTTCTCTAAAAAAAATATTATTCAAAACTCAATTTCCTTAAAATAATGGCTATCAAACATGGTCCAAATCGACTAATCCAGTGTTTTAAGTTGTAAATTACGTAAAGATTCGATTTAAAATTTATTTTTGATAAATAAATACGAACACTTTATTTTTTATAAGATGATCTCAATTTTATTGAAGTCCATATTAGAATTTTGCAAGAAGATTGAAAAGCTTAAAGTAGTTTTCATGTCAATAATTATGAAAATGCGAATAAAAAAATACATAATAAAAAATCATCATCTTCATCATTCTACGAATATGATAAAAGGATTTGTCTTGTTGTCCATTATGGATGCCTTTATGGCATCCTTAAAGGCATCCATAATGTACTAGTAGCCAGACCCATGATAAAAATAGGGCTGGGTTGGACCAATGACACCATGCGCAGACCATAAATGAGGCTGAAAAGATGTGATTTTGATTTTGTAAAATAACTTATTACTGTGAATGTTACTTTAGGAGGATCGAGTTAGATACCAATAGATCCATTCCTCAATAGAAATAATATAAGGATTTTTATTTTTTTTTTAAATGAATTTTTATTTTGCAATCTGGTTGATTTTGGGATCCTCATTCACCATGACTCATTCAGTTAGCATGTTTGGCTGTTTCCTATCATAACCATCGAATCAGATAATCCCCTCTACATTAAAAGAGGGAATATGGCGTTCACTGTTCATTTAAGACGTATTTTCCCCTCCCATCTTACCCTCAAACATCTGCCAAAGTAATTCTTCTTGTAAGAAGGATGAAGGATGTGATGGTCATTTGGTATTCACAAAATATCTCTTCTTCGGCCAAAATAGGGGGAGCTGAAGCTAGAGATCACTCTTCATTTGTGCTCGGCGGAGGAGGAGCTGAACCTCGAGATCGACGACCTGAAGGTTAATGTCGATTCCTTAACCCTTTCCTTTTCATTAACGGTTCTTCGACTGTTTATTAACGGTTCTTCCTTCATAATCCAGCTAAATTAATGGTTATATCGACTTCGAGCTTCAACCTGTGAGTGGCGGAGGCTGATTGGGAGGGATTCTGTATCGAGTGCTATTTGGTGGAATCGATGACTGTAGCGGTGCGATTGCTGTCGGGTAAGGTTTTTCGAAAAGTTCAACTTTCAATACCCAAAAATCTAGGGTTTTTTATAGTGTAACGGCGGCTTAAATAAGCATGCAATTGGCAACTGCCACTCTGTCTTCGCTTCTTCAATTTGTTATCAAGAATCAGTGAAACTCATCAGTCTTTTAGTTTAACACATACAAAGGCTCGTTTGTTCCCACAGTTTCTTGCTAGAAAAAAAATGTCTGTAATTCATCATAGCCTTTCAACTTCAATTTCCTCATCATCTTCGACGTTTCTGGGCCACAACAATCTCAAAAGCATCAAGTGCCTCTTCTTTTCATGATGGTTTTTTTTCCCCGATTTAGTGGAGGCATTTGTTTGTAAGTTTACTGTGTTCTTGTGCAGGTCGAGTAATGTTTCAATTCCAGGGAGAATCAATGTGGTTATCGAATGTGTTGCCACGCCCTCAGCTGAAATAATTGGTATTGATTTGACAATTTTTTGTGCCCCTGTAATTAAATGTAATTTGGGTATCTTTTTTCACCTGGGTTGTGCCCTGTGTTTTCTGTTGAAAAGTGTATTGTGGTTTATTTCTTCATTTTTGGATTACCTATTTGATGATAACCC